ACACGCACACGCTCACCTGCAGCACTTGGCAACCTGCACACCTGCAGCACTTGGAAACCTGTAAAACACTCCCACTTCTACGGTGGCTGAGGAGGACAAGAAGACCAAAGCGGGTCAAAAATATAAATTGTACAGCTATTCAGAAGTAACTAAAGGGTAAAATAAAATAAAAACCCTCCTGGTAATATATATATATATATATATATATATATATATATATATATATATATATATATATATATATATATATATATATATATATATATACATATACATATACATATATATTTATAGCCTATATATATGTTGACATACATCAAAATATATGTTTTATATTTCAGATTGTTTTAATGTAAGTTGAAGAGTGAGCCAAGATGATACTCGTCTAAAACATATATTAGAAAAATTCAACAGCAATGTCTATTTCCCAGGGGCGCTGCAAGACACTCTGGGGGCTTCAGGCAGAAAAGACCTGCCCCCCAACACATCCATTTCATGTAGGTTTTTTCTACGGTATTACTGCACAGAAGAAATTGGCTAAATGCACACTTTCAACTGTGATAAAGAAGAAATATTTCCAAGACACAAAAACAACAAAAATCAGTTCACAGGTCAATGGGTTATCTTTATTATCCAGGTCATAGTTTATTGTAAAATGTATTCTGTAGGGGCATTACATTGTAGAGAAGGCGTACATCTCTGTGACTGATATCTCCAACACTCTGCAACTCACAACAAAACAATCTAGATTGATAAATAGCTCTACAGGTAAGTTATAATCCATATTGGTGGCGTTTAGCCTTTCAAAAATGACACTTTTTATTGCTCCTATACGCACATAAAAAGGGACAGCTAGTTATAATCACATAAGTAAGTTGATTTGATTAAAAAAGGCAACCTCATCAAATTTATTTTCAGAATGATGACCTTAAAATGTTAAACCTAGTGTCGGTGATGTCACCCATAGGTTTCTGGGCCATTGTAAAGCTTAAAGTCAACGGCTCTGGCCATGGCAGTGACAATGGCATGGCATTTATATCATTTAATATACCATGGAAGAGTATTTTCCTGTCCTTCATGTCGGCGGGTTGTGGTGAAATTCAACTATTACAAACGTTTTAAAGCAGTGCTATAATAATGCTGCAGGCACATCAACCTGTTTCTACAGCAAGCATTTAGAAGCTCCCAAATAAACAGTATATCTGCCACCTGTCACTTGGTAAATATTGGCTTGGTGCAGTTTCTAAGCATGGCCACTAGATGTCTCCCACATACAACAACAAAACAATCCTCAGTACGTCATTACTGTTTTGGTTTGGGATCCACATTCAGATTCTTTGTCCTCAATACAAATTGGAGTCAATGAAGCAGTAACTTTAAAAAAATAAAAATAAAAAAAATAAAATGACAAACTTTATTCTATTCTGACTGAAATCAAGGCAGTATTTCAATGGCTTTTAGAGTCATGTGCTCACAGTTGGCAGAAGTTAGGTATAGACAGTCACTTTGTTCACCATTAACAATGTGGATTTTCTACTACAGCACATATTACAAAGTCTGCCTTTTGAAGAAAGCTCTGTAGATGAAACACCTTGGTGCCCAGTAGCCACAGATTATGTATTTAGCTATAAACCAAGTTTATGGTTTTGATAACCCTTTCTGTCCTGTGTTACACACTATGGTTACACATAATGATTCTCACCAATCCCTGCTACATAAACCATAAATACCCATGAATGATAAAGGCTGTGTGAAAAACGTCAATGGAAGTGGGGATCTACATGTTTCTAAATGTTGTGTCTGGATGTATGGAGTTTGTTAATATGCTGTAATGGTTTTAGGGAATCACTGCAGGCAAGGTAAAGTGTTGACATTTAAAAAGCGTTATGCTTAGATAAGTCTGTCTCTGTTGCTCTCTGGGCGCCAACACTGGATGGAGTTAATACCTACAGTCCTTATAGTTGCAGATATCAAGCAGTCATAATATTCAAACACAATAGGAAGACGACGCAAATGTTGTTTTTGCATCATATCATTTATTGGGGATCCATGGCATAACACAGAAAGGTACAGTTTCATCTGTAAATAAAATGCAAAGAGCATTCTTTCCAGTGGATCAAATGACCCCGAGAAATATAAATAAATGAGACGTGGGAGTTTCGGGCAAAGGGGTGAGGGATAGAATAAGATACCATGATTACAAACATTCAGAGGGATACTGAGAAATATATATTGAAGAAAGACTCATGGCCAGAGAAAGACCCAACGCTACTCGTGCCTTTGGATTCAAAATACAATATTTTCTTAACACATCTCTACATACATCAGTAACACATGTTCACAACTGTATTTAGATTATTCCTGTTCTTTAGGTCCATAGTAAAAACAAGTTGTACTCTAACCATAGACTGTATATGACCTGGTGTGACAAGCAGAAGGTTTGTGTGTGACAGACATTTGGTGCAAAATCACAGAAAACCTGACGTGTGGCTACAACTTCAGTTACATATCTATTATTCACAGATTTCCCCAGGCCCGTAATTCCGTGCTGCAAACACACTTTATTCCTGTAGATGATTTCAAGAAACCACGTTCATGCTACCTTGTGTGGAATCAAAAACGCAGCATTGGTTCAGGTTAATGTCTTCCCAAAAGTTTACACACATTGCTAAAAGTCCCTGGTTTTCAAGCACAATCTTCCTCTCTACTGTTCATTATCACAACCCCTCTGCCACATTGTTTAAAGGGTTCATTTTACAGAGATTTTTGTGAAATAGATCGTACCGGGTCAATGCAATAATACATTTTATTTTAAAGGTTGACTAAGGTTTCGCTTTGTTATCAACTTTTATCAGGCTAGTTTGTATCATTGAGGCCACAGGGAACTGTTTGCTATAAGGAGGGCTGCCGATAGCTTTAAGGGTCAGGATGATATATTACATTTACAGTAAATTAGTACCCCGAATCAAACCTGACTGCATTTTAAACATGTTCAATTTAACTTTATGTGATTACATTTTAATTACTTTTATTAAAAGTATGGCAATATATTTAAAAAAAATCATGACAACCAACACTAAAATATAATCAAAAACGATGATGACTTTTTGAGTTTTTATTCCTTTTTATCGACATTAGAAATAGAAAAAAACATTTTGAGTAATGTTCCTAATGCTCAAGGCAATTTAACACAACATGAATACACACAGCGCAACTGTAGTTTGTGTTTTGTCATGTGATTTAAACAACTGTAAATGCTGAATATGCAATATATGTTTAATTTGCAATTGAAAATGTTTTTGAGATGTTTAAAGAGGAAGAAAAAAGTATTGTGTTTAACTCCATTACATACATTTTTCATAGTTAGAATTGGTTTATGGTACTAAATATAAAAAATGCCATGTACATAGTTAAAACAGTACAGTAGGTTAATCGCACACTGTGGCCTTAAGAAGGTTTGTAGAGTTTTCCTGGGTGACAACAGACACTTTTATCCTTATATAAATAAGAACACATTTATGATAACACAGGGGTGGCTTGATTTAGATGTTTTTAAAAGTATGCCTAATTGTTCTTTGAAGTGACGGTATTCCCATTTGAAATGTATTGGCTCATTTGTATATAGTGCTAGCAGAAATGAAATAAAAAACATGGATCCCATCCATCTGTTGCTTAAGCAACAGCTACCGTACTGTAAAGGGGTTCTCCAACAATTGAGTAATGCAGATCTATAAAGCTGAGGAGGATTTGCAGCAGGTGGAAAGCCGGACGTATAGCAGCTACAATCACAAGGAAGAGAAATCAAAGCGTTTATGAGACAGGTGCATAGACACACATGTTTGACTTCATGACATTTGCATGATGATGTGTTGCAGCTGCAATCATCAGCATGTCATTAAAGGCCTTGATGTTGTATGCCACGCGCCGCGTTAACAGCTTCAAATGTGAATGTATTGGTGCCTGAGGGGAAGAAAGTATTTATTCCTTTTTAACTGGTTTAAAATGAAGCTTTTGTCTATGCAAGTTATTATTCTCCTCCTTTACATTTCAATCAAATGTTTCTACTCGTTGCTTTTTCAATATTTAATTATTAAGAGTCACCTTTTTTCTAGCTTTTAAGCACTCTTCATTTGCATTCTCACTCCCATCCAGAGAGGGGCACATCAATTAAAAAAAGAACAGTATCATCTATGTAGATCCATGTATCATTCTGAAATGGTTCATTACGACTAACGAGTACTTTCACTTTTGGTACTTAAATATATTGTTATGCTAATACTTTTGTTCTTTGTACTACTGTAAGATTTTAAATGCAGGTGTTGCTTCTTTTACTTTAGTATTAAAGTACTTATTCTACCACTGCTCAACTCAAGTAATATATTACATTACATGTCACTTGATAGACGCTTTTATCCAAAGCGACTTACATACTCAATACTGTGGACAATCCCCACAGGAGCAATTTGGGGTGAAGTGTCTCAGGGACACAACGACATGCTGACTGCAGTGGGGTTTGAACCTGTGACCCCCTGATCCGAACACCAACGCTCAACCCACTGCACCACACGCCTCCCTATATTAGATGATGTTATGTATACAACACAACTAACTTAAGTTTGTGACTTAAGATATGTGACAAAAATACTTATTTTAACCAAAACAATTATCTTGGTAAAACCCAACCTAGAAGTTTGTTTCGATTCTGAAGACTACCCTGCATGTGAAAGTAACACAAGAGGGGTCCTAACCAAGCTGTGTGTCAAATTGGGAAGTGTTATATGTATAGTCTATAGCTTGAACTAGAGAATTATATATATACGTATATATTTGAAATAGGTGGTAGGCTATTCCTCTTTAAATAAAAATAATAATCTTTATTTATACATTTATATAAAAAGCTAATCTACTATCTTAATGATTTCCCCTGCACAGATCAAAACACTAGGCTGTATAATATATACTGTACATCCAAAAATACAGTTTGTTTCTCAAAGCTTTGCGTGGACTATAAGTGACGCATGAGCAGAAAGCACAGGCCGGGTGAGAGCTACATACTGCGTACAGATAGAAGTGGTCGTAACCCAGCGTACAACATAAAAACAGCACTGTAAGCATGTGAGGCACACGTGCTGTGGAATGAAGCATGACCTGGATTATGGGAAAAAGGCAACGACATATTTCAACACGATAGCTGGACACTTTGCTTCGGGACACACGGCAACAAGATCATCACATCTATACTGTATACTGGAGACCACAACAGAACACTTGTGTCCCTACAATCATCTGTCCTTTTCTTTATCAGTTGTTTTTCTTTTGGTTTCAGCTGACTTATTTCATCTTCATAGTACTTCTGTCTGTCCGCTAAAGCGCGAGCATCTGTTCGTTCCTTAAGAAGCAAATGATAGTTGGCTTAACGATGGATTCCCTTCTGTCCTCCCATCCATCTGGTTATGTATGTGGGAGGGAAACATTTGATACATTTCTAGATTTTTGGCAAAAACAGTATTTTAAAGGTTTAACGGCCTTGACTAGCTTGTGTGTAACTTACTTTTTTTATATATTTAAACACACTTGGGACATGTTACAGGCACATGTAGGTATCACCAGGGTTACCAGGAGGAAAGGACCTGAATAAAGATTAACTGTACATAAAAGCCTCACGTGATATAAGTAATCAGCCTAATCTATGTTTTATCATCCTTCAGTCTATTGGTAGTTCAAAACAGACGGTTAGGATAAAACAGACGTCCTGTGGGGGATTGTCTTCTCGTGTTTCGGTCACCACGAGTCACCTGGGTTCAGCTGTGCGCTCACAGATCAGTGGATGTAGTGTCCAGTGACATGCTCATATGGATGACATCGTCCGAACACTGCAGTCGGATTGACTTTGAGCTCTCTCCTCTGAGGGAGACAGTCCTCTTTTGCCTCCATCCACACAGGACTCGACACAGGAGGGGGAAACGTAAGCGGAGCAGGAAGCAGCAATCAGGTCAAGTGATCCGATTGGTCCGTCACATCGTCCAAGTCTTCCTCCTCCACCTTCATTGGCTCCACGGCTCCGGAGGAGTGCTGCGACTGGCTGGAGCAGGAGAGACTGTGCGTGTCGTCGTCATCGTCCGCCATCAGCGCCCGCCTCCCCTGCGCCTCCTTCTCCTCCCCTCTCCACCCCCCCTTCCTCCCCCTGCCCATCCCTCTCCTCTGCTCCTCCAGCGTCCACATGCTCTCGTCCTCGTCCTCCTTCCCCTGCACCTCCCGGTCAAAGTCCAGCAGCTCCTCCATCATCTCCTCGATCTCCATCTCCCCGTCCAGCTCCTCCTCCACCTCCGACCGGAGCTCGCCCATGCTCTCGGTGCGGTTGTCGTCCGTCTCCTCCTCCTCCCCGAGCCCCCTCAGCCTCTCGGGGGGCTCGCTGGCCTGACTCTCTCCGAACTCCAGGATGGTGGGGAGGTTCCCCTGCTTGGGGCAGCGCTTCCTCAGGCTGAGCAGGAAGGGCTGCGGCAGAGAGAAGATGTCCACGTTGTTGCCCAGGTCGATCCACGTCACGCTGGGGAAACTGCAGGGGTCCTGGGGTGATGAAGAACAACATACTGTATCAAAATATCATCCTCATCATCATCGACCCCTCCCACCCTGGACACAAACTGTTCACCCCCCTCCCCTCTGGCAGGAGGCTCGCTCCATCAGGAACAAAACCTCTCGCCACCTGAATCTTCCCCTCCGCTTCCGGCCTCATAAACAAGGCCCGGCCCCCCTACTGACACTTTACCTCAGCCACAACGCAATGTACGACATTATTTTGTATTACAGCTGATTTTTATTCCATATTGTATTCCTCTATTTCATTCCATTGCAATGAAAATACTGTTATATTTGACCAAATCTTTTTTATTTGTTTTTATAAAAAAAATACAATACACATTTAAATGTATCATGAATAAATACAAAATAAAAGTAAATAATACATGTATCAACAAATATTTACAATTATGACATTTATCAATACATTTTATTGTCCATTTTTCTCTCTGTCTATACAGGCGCTTCTTGGTGCATTGTTTATATTACATGATGGTGTTAATAGTGGATAAGACTGTTTATTTTAATTTTAAAATTCTGTTAAAATTTCATTTCTCTAGAAGCTTTTCTTAAGAACTCAGGCACTTCACCAGTATTTTAATCAGAAGAACCAGGAACTCAATTTGTTCCTTCAGAGGGAATTCAACTAGCATCCAATTTACTTTGGAAAAAAAGCTCTTTTAAAGCTCTTTCTGCTGGTTCAGTAAACCACTGTGGCAAAGTTTGCTAAATGTCTGCAATTGGTCTAATAAAGCCTGTGGTGCACTTCTGTACTGTATGTCCCCTTTACTTCCATTCATTACATCGGTTAGACATCAAAGTCATGCAACACTAACATTTAAAAAACAACAACATGTCACGGTGTTTCTGTTTCCTCCAGTGTCAAAAGTGCAACTCAAACATTGCCATCATTTGGCCAAAATGTCACGATTTTTCAGATTCTACAAACGCAAGTAATTTTAAGTCTTATATTTAATTCCTAGGAAAAATATAACTTCCAACAAAAAGCAAGGGGGCTCATTAACAGGGACTACACTAATACTGATACTATGCTGCTACATTGTAACCATCTGGACAAATATATTAAAATGTCTTGCTGACCTTCAGGGCGTCGGTCAGCTCCTTCAGAACGGCTCTGGTCAGCCTGTTCCCGTTCAGAGCCAGAGTCTCCAGGTGAGGCAGGGCGGCCAGCGTGGGCAGCAGCAGGAGGAAGGCCTCGTCGGTCAGATCTGTGAAGCCCAGCTCCAGGCTGCCCAGGATGGACGTGTGGCGCTGGAGGTGTGCACACAGACGCTCCATGTCCCGAGCAGCCAGAGGAATACCGGACAGATCCAACGACCCGTTGGACACAGGGGCCGTCAGCACCGCCTTCAAACTGGAAAGGGACACATGAGACAAAGTTAGAGCCTAAATGCTTTAATGGGCTTGCAGTGAAATGTATGTATCGGTGGAACTAATACATAAGAGTAATTAGAACAACCCATCCTGTACTTTCCTTCTATGTCATGGCCCCGCTCCTTTTTGGGTGAAATATCTGCCATCCATTGACTGGCAGTAAATACACATTCTGAGATTTCACATCAAAAAATTAAGAATACCATGCATTTTTTATCCAACAAGGAGCCAGAATACAATGGTCAGTCAGGTAAACAATTACAGTATGTCACTTGAGATTGATGATCGGCGTCCATATGGTGAAATTAAAAGCAATAGGGGATTGATGTCCTTTCACTCTGCCAACACTTACGAGGGATTTCCATGGCTTGTCAGTGTTTTATATTTCAAAGCAGCATCTAAATATACAAGTTTGACTTTCAACATTACAACTGTTTAGTCTGACGATTGACGTTAGCCTTATTAGCATCATAATGTAGCTGAGATTAAGTGTTTCCCAAAAGAAAGCCAAAGATTTCTTCTTTTACCATCCTTTTTTTTAAGTGAAAGTATAGAAAATTGTTACTTTGGATGTTTTTAGTTGTTGAACGTGCATTACAAAACATAGAAATGTTATGAATGATGACGGGTTTTTTCCCGCTTTGCACCGGTTCCTTGTTTACACCGGAAAGTGGGCGGGGCCGTCATTTTGCCAGACATTGACTATGGTAATTAATATTTTACTTTATGAAACCTTATTGTTGAAAATATTCCTGCACACAATTCAATTTCACAAACAGCTCAACCATTTTTTTTACACATGGGCAAATTATATCTCATATTTGAGTATAACACAACATATGTCTATAGCTAAAACACTTTTTTTACACATTCAAACAAAATGTGTGATTGTTATTATTATAATTTGTTTTAACAATTCACATATTCAGATACATGCATGCAATTGTTTTTTCCACAGGCATCCATAATGTGATATACAAATGCAGCATAATAATGGCCCTTAATGGCTCCCATAGCTTTGAAGCTATATATTGGACCAATTATGCTTATATTTGTTCTTTTATTCTTTTAATAAATCTTTTTTCTTTACGTTATATTGCATGTTTATGCCAACCATATTTCTCATCTCGTTTCAGTAGATTAACATAATCATTACATACAACAATATCACACATTTTGCCACCTACATATTCACGTAAAACGCGCCACTTCACACTTCTCAAGGTGACAGCACGGCAATATGGTAATGTTTCTGTTTCCATGTTGCGTCAGTTTGGCTGTTTACTGTCATGAAAAATGCACACAATCCATTCAATAAAAATAGGTTGCTCTGATAAAGTCTCTTCCCTCTAAATGTTACACTTTGACACGACACAGTTACTAACAGTAATATACATTACAAATTAATAATTAGAGTAATAGTTTGACACTTTCGGCCAGTTAGCTTAGCTTAGCATTAAGACTGTAAACAGGGGGAAACAGCTAGCCGAGCTCTGAGGTGCTTGCCCCACGGGAACGCATACGGCAAAACGCATAGGATTAACGCAATCGCAATCGCAAAAAAGCTTCCGTCCACACGCAATAGACACCGGATAGTGTCTGTTCACACGAGACAGCTCCGTTTAGCTCCAACCGCTGGAAAAAGCTGCAGTACATATGCCGAGCCTGTACGTGGCGCTGTAACTTCCTCCACAAAAGCAGCGAAGAAGCATGGTTGTCATGGTTGCCCTTCTGTTTATTCACCGTGGTGGGGGCCGAGGGAACCGGGCAGAGTTTTTCGCCGGTCAACGTGTGTAAAAGTTTAAATCTTCCGGACAAAATTATAAAAGTGCCGGTCAAAGGTCTTCTTTGTTATTTATTAAGCTTTAAAACAAATGAATAACGACTATATATAATAATAAAATACACGGAGCCTGTCCTCTCTTTTTCCTCTCTTCTGACAGCGTCAGTGTCTGTCTCATGCAGCAGCTGATCCAGTAATGAGTGACCCGGCCGACAGTAAAAAATAAACATATTTATAACTAGTTTAGGTAGTTTGAGAGGTAATTAAAATAGCTAAGGGTGATGATCTGACTTGAAGTGTGTGTTTTGCTCCTCCCGCTGTGATGCAGCACACACAGGAGCTGCGTGGAGCTGCGTGTCTCCGTCCTGTCAGATTAGACTTCACTCGCGTTTATGTCCATATCGAGATAAATATGCGGGGGTGAGCAGCAGAGGTGGGGGGAGGCAGGGCTATTGCATCATCATTATCACAAAATGATCGTATAGAGGCGATCACACGGAACCGTATGACCCCCCAGAGCGCTCCGTTTCCAGATCTATCCACCTTTGGACCCGTTATCGTTTGCGGGGTCCGTTTCTATCGTTTAGTTACGGCCTCGTGTGGCAAAAAGGGCTATACGCAAGTGAAATATGCGGATACAACCCGTTTTCGTCCTCGTGGGGCACCAGCCTAGGCTCACTCATTCAGATATTAGTGTGATATCGATCTTCTAATCTAATGTTTATGTAACATACAAAACGTATTTACCTTACTGTGCACTATTTTTTCAGTTTTTTCAGTTTTATTGTGTTGCACTGTTGGAGGAGCCTGTGACCTAAGATTTTCATCGTCATAACTACACTGTAGCTATGTACGCATGACCAATAAAAGCCTTGAACCTTGAACCTTGTATGTCATTTATCATCACTCTACTTCCAGCTGCAGAAACCCTCAGACATGCAATCCTCACTTCCAGACTGGAGTATTGTAACACCATCCTCTATGGGATTGTTTGGGGTCATTTTGTGAAATAGGCTACCTCCGCTGCCTTCGCTCATCAGAAGCCAATCTCCTGTCCATTCCTACACAGACCAAGTACAGAGTCTTTCCATCGCTGCCCCCTCCCTCCGGAACTTACTCCCAAAACAAATCAGTGACTTGACCGACCTCCTAACCTTCAAAACACTGACCAAAACTCACCGTTTTAGTCTGGCTTTTATTGTGTGATAAATGTTGTGTCCCAAAGTTAAATGTTCTTATGTGAGCATGATTTTATTTTGACTTTCATTTTTTAACACATTTAAAAAAATCTTTTTAAAGCATCATTAAGCACTTTTAAAAGCACTTGATAAATACAATGTATTATTATATTGTTATTCATATTATTATGAATATTATTATGTATATTTGCCTTAGATGCTAGTGCTGTTGATCGATAAAACATTTAATCACGTTTATCCCAATAGTGATCGGTGATTATCAATAATTAATCACAAGTTTAAAATACTAGTATTTACTAGTATTAAAACAAATACATGAGTGGTGTTTCTGACTTTCATAACTTTTGAATTATTGGCATGAAGTCAGACAGTTTCCAACACAAAGCTAAAGCATCGACAGAGCTGTTGTCATGGAGACCCGCTGTGATCACCCTCTGTATAAGGTAATACACAGGGCATGTGCTCATATGGTAGAATTATTGGTGCAGATGCACGAGTGACTGGACCCTACACTCTTCCATAAGTGGGTCTAAAAGGACCCGTATTAGAATAATATGTGTTTTTATGTCATTTTTGTCATTTTGGTTAAGAAAAATCACTTGTATAATATTTAGTATTATATTTTGGTTCACACTAGAAATATTTAATTTTTATTACAATTACAATTTATAATTTTAGAATTTTTTTTACATTTTGAAAAAAAACGTACATATTGTCCCAAAGATCTCCGCTATTCTGAGACCCTCACAGTATTCCAGTCCCTTTTCAAAACTCATCTCTTCTCCTCTTGTTTACTCATAGCCCACCCCCCATCAATCCATGCCGGTTGATCAAGTTTGATAGTCCTATACCCCCCACCATAACCTTCCCTTATATTGTAAAGCGATTTTGAGTCCTTGAAAAGCCCTATACAAATATAATATAATGTATTAGTATTATTATTATTATTAGTATTATTATACTGACAGGTTTCAGATCTTGCTGTGTAAAATAATCTTCCTGAGAGGTGTCACTTGTGATGTCGTCTCTGCCCTTTCACACCGGCGCTTTTCCAGCTCCGACTCGGAGCTGGAGCTGGAAAAGCGCAGTTTTTTCCTGTTCACACCGCAGCGGCGCCGCGTCATAGCTCCGGAATGCGGTTCACTTCCAGCTCCAAAAAATTGTCGGTCTAGAGGCAAGAGCTTCGGAGCTATGACGCGGCGTCGCTTACGTCTCTCTTACGCAGCCTACCCACGGCGGCGTGCGTTGCCGCTTGGCGGTGGGCGTGTCTTGAGCTTGGGGAGTTTACGCGAGCAACGCGACCAACAACCAATCACATTAATCTCCCGTGTCTCTCCCCAAGGGCAAAACACACTTTATAAAGTCAGGCAACACTAACCAGGCTTCGTGTGATTCTGTTTATTTGTACCTTACTTTGACCATCCGTTCGCTGTTATTGATCATTGTGGAGAGCAGGCAGACGTTTTGTTTGTTATTATAGCAGCTATCGGATGGAATCAATACATGGGCTGCACAGGTTGTCATGTCCGACTATCACAAGTAGAATCATAATGAAAAATACGCCGGTAAAATGTGCCTGTAGAAAACGGCTTAGCAAGTAGTCAGTTTAGCTTCGGTTGCGATGCTAACATCACCCATGTTATACCAGAGAAACTTTCATAACAGCGTTGTGATGCCAAACAGCGTCAATTCAGACTGACACACATTCACTTAAGGGGAACTGGGGATATGTATCAGCTGCTTGTGTGACAGTCAGACAGTGAATACTTTAGAGCCGTGTGAGCTAACCCGGAGCTAACGGGAGAATAAACTCCCGTTGAAGAGCAGCCAGCACTGCAGCGGTTGGTAAATGCCGCTGAAACACATTAATAAACAATGAACCACGGCACTCTGGAGAAAAGTATAAGGTTGGAGAAGTCGTTATTTAATTTGATCTGGCTTCGTATGATTAAAAGCAACACGATCATCGACCCGAAGCAGTCCCCCCCCGTTGTTGTT